GGCATGACAGTAGGGTTACAGTAAGGCTTAGAGTTTGGGTTTAGGGTTTAGGGTTTAGGGTTTAGGGCTTAGGGTTTGGGGGTAGGGGCAGTAAGCGGATATGTAACATGACACTAGGGGTTACAGTAAGGCTTAGGTTTGGGGATGGGGGGCAGTAAGGGGAGATGTAGCACGACAGTAGGGGTTACAGTAAGGCTTAGGGTTTGGGGATGGGGGCAGTAAGGGGAGATGTAGCATGACACTAGGGGTTACAGTAAGGCTTAGGGTTTAGGGATGGGGGCAGTAAGGGGAGATGTAGCATGACACTAGGGGTTACAGTAAGGCTTAGGGTTTAGGGATGGGACAGTAAGGGGATACTGTTTACCGGTCGCAGCTTGATCGAACTGGGTTTCCTCCTGCAACGAGGCGTGTGCACGGGGATTTGCGTTAGGTGCCTGCACAGGGAAGCCGGTGAAAGGGTAAATAGGGTTTAGGGCTTAGGGTTTACATCATACCGCTACTTAAAGGAGCACGGGACTTAGAAAGCAGGTGAGAAGTGGCTGTACAGATATGATATTTTGTCTTGCTACACGTACAATACTTCTAGACTCATAGAATCTACATTTGTAAACCGTACGCCCTTCGCCCTAAAGCCTCAACCAGGGCCCCTGCAGGAGCTGCAGTCGAATGGTCAGCTGAGTCTGAACACCGGACCTTCCTTCGTCGCTTGGCTGCTGATCGGCTCTGTCAATTAACTACGAGGGTGGGTAGGGTTTAGGGTTTAGGGTTTAGGGTTTGGGGGGTGATTCACGACACATGGTAGTCCAAGCCGCTTCAGTTTCCGCGGACCTCTCGCGCCGCGTGGGCCGAAACCCCAAAGAGACCGTGAGCTTCAACTTTGTGAGACTCCAGTCCGAGGGGTTTAGGGTTTAGGGTTTAGGGAACCCTAAACACCAAACCCTAAACACGTCTCATCGGGACTCTACTGTAGTCTGAGCTCTTCTGGACTCGTTTATGGTAGGCAAAAGATTTACATTAGGGTTTAAGGTGCCTAGTTGCCTCGATGGGGGACCCCTACTTGATAAGGACTTCCACAGACGTCCATCCTAGACTTACCCTAAACCCCCAAACTCCAAACCCCAATTTCTTGTCTGGCTGGACGGCGGGGGGAAAAGAGCAACTAAACCCTACCATACTAAGGAATATATGCCATAACAAGGAATATACACCATAATAAGGAATATACACCTTAATAAAGAATATACACCATATTAAGGAATATATACCATGATAAGGCATTTTATACCATAATAAGGAATATACACCATAATAAGGAATATATACCATAACAAGGAATATACACCACAATAAGGAATATATACGATAAAAAGGAATATACACCATAGTAAGGAATGTATACCATAATTTTCGGGTCCTTAAAGGTCACATGACCCGATGGAGACAGTCTCAGGCTCGCGTCTTCGATGCCATGGGCAGCGAGCAAGATGGCAGTGCCACTTCGTCCCACTGGGTCGGGCTTACTCCAGTTTAGGGGTTTAGGGTTTAGGGTTTCGGGGTTTAGGGGTTTAGGTTTAGGGGTTTAGGGTGTAGGGGTTCAGGGTTTAGGGTTTAGAGCTCCGCGGCTCGTGGTTGTAAGATGTTGTGAGTATGGTAGTTGGTGCCAAACAGGAACCATAGCAAGAGCTACCCGCTCCTCTTGCTGAGCTCCTGGGTCCTTAAGCATACTGCAAGACCCTTAATGAAGCCCTTGTTGAGCCCTTATGAGGCACTGTAAATTTACATAGTAGGTCCCTTGATCCCTTGAGTAGTCGCAAAGGACGGGCTATAGGATTGAAAGTTTCAAAGTCTCGTGGCCGGTAAGCCCAGTGCCGAGGTAGGCTTGCCCTTGTTCTAGGATTGGCAGGGATAAAAGTCGAGTCGAGCTCGTCGCTTCTCTGGGCATATCTCTCGGCAGGTCTAGCGCCAGTCCATGGCCTTCCATCGGTGCTATTCCTCTGGCGTTCGGTTTTGGGTGGGGTGTCACACTGCTGTCCTTGTTGCTCGCGTTCACAAGCAAGGCTGACAAAGGGACGACGGGAGGGCAGCTGGGAGTCGCGAGGGATGGTACCAGCGTTGTTGGCGAAGGGATTGGCACCAATGAACATGGCAGGAAGATGTAGATAAGCCTGTGCTACCACCTGAAATGCTCACGCAGGGAGCGGATTCCTGAAACCTTCACAGAGTCCTTTATAGCCCTCGAAGATCCTTGAAGTAAGCCCTGCAACCCCTTCTAAAGCCCCTTGTCATTCCATCTTTGAGATTCTCAACCGGTTCGGAGGGTGTGAGGATGGGGATGGCCGAGATGTGGGGTGTGGGGCAACGTTGGGGGGTCCTTGAAATTCGGGGTACCCAATTTGCGGTTGTGTGTTGGGATACGTTCGGGTGTACCTACATCTATGTAAATCGATGTCTTTATCTATTTCCATGTCCATATTCATTGTTTCTATGCACATGTGCATGTCTTGGTTCGGGTTCCTTCTTATCTGAAACCGCCATGTCGCTAGAACTTCTCACGGCTGAGGTGGTGAAGCTGGAGCTGAAGTGCCGCATTGTAGGCGTCTTCCCGGATTCGGCGACCTGGCGGCAGCTCACAAAAGGATGTTGTTTCAAAAGCCTTGGGGGCCGCAAAATTGCCGGTGTTGATTTTTTGTGTGAGTTTGGATGGTCTTGTCGGGTTTGTAAAGGCTTTGAAACATATAGGCGTATGAATCGCAGTAAGAACCCTGCTGTTTAAAGTTCTATATCGAGGTTCTCTACTTCCTGAAACTCGCTCCTATGCAGGGTTTCTTCGAGTTTGAATTCTCTCTAGGACCTTTGCCATAAAGAGTGCCTAACCCTGGAAAGCCTAGCAAGACAGGTCAAAGCTTATATGTAAATACTCAGCTACGGAGGTTTGGGGTCTGGGATATCTGGTCTTCAAGGTTGAAGGGCTTAGGAGCTTACCTAGAGCCCCAACAACCCTACCTTTTGAGGCTCTTTTCTCTGGAAGTCATCATTAGCAGCCCTAACGAGGTAGGCTTTTTTTTGCTGAGCCCTAAGCCCGAACCCCCCCCCCCTTTACGGGCCACAAGCTCGCACAAGAGGGCCCAGTCAAGAAGCCCACTTCAAGGTGTCCCATTCTTCAGGATCCCAACGAGGAGGCTTTAGGGTTCAGGGGGATTGATTCCTGTCAAAAAGTAAGGGTCCGTATAGAGAGAATGAAAAAGGCCTTCCAGACGGCCTCCGAAGTCTCAGGACAAACGATCGGTTCAGGTTTAGGGGTTTAGGGGTTTAGGGGTTTAGGGGTTTAGGGGTTTAGGGGTTTAGGGGTTTAGGGGTTTAGGGTTGAGGAGTAGGGTGGGCTGCCCAGGATTTCAAGCCGCTCACTTCAAAAATGAACATCGTGATCACGGATACCACGTGCTGGGTCAAGGCCCAGGGATCTGGGTTTAGGTTGGATACTGCCCCCCACTCAGTAACAGTTGGATAATATTCATAATATGGATATATAAGGCCCTTAATAATAGCCCTATCATAGACTGTTACTGTATGGGGGCAGTACCCAAGGTTTAGGGAAGCCAGAGCCTCTGTTTTTGTAGACACGGGGCACGTTTTTTAGGTTCCCAAGATAGTACAGCACCCTTCTAAAGGGATCCTAAAGAGGGATCTCGGGTTTGGAGCTAGAGTTTGGAGGTTACTTTGCCTTTATAAGCAGCCATGCTATTTTGTGTAGTTCCTCATTCTCATGATCGTATTTTGTTTGCCGGTTTGCCAAGCGTGCGGGCCGATAGTGAACCACAAGGGAGACCCTCTGGCGGCAATGGAAGAAGTCACTAAGCACCTGGATCGGCTCGGATCGGACGTCGTCAACTGAATCTCAAGCCCTTCTGAAGACGGTTTCGGGGGGCTTTCGGGAGCGTCACAGCCGTAGGATGAAGGTAGGTGGGATTGAGGATCCGTTCTGTGAGGACTTTGGGGACGTTCGCATGATTAGTCATTGTCTACCATACCCCAAAGCCCGGCCCCGATATTACCCTAAACCCTAAACCCTAAGCCCTAAACCCTAAACCCTAAGCCCTAAGCCCTAAACCCTAAACCCTAAATCCCGTGGAGCCCTGTGAGGCTTGCGAGTTTGGTTCTTGCAGTAGACTGAGGTTCCGTATGACGTATTCGGCATACCCGCAGTGTTGGTGTTTCGGGGTTTAGGGTTTAGGGTTTCGGGGTTTAGGGGTTTAGGACTTTGGGGCTTGGGGTTTAGGACTTTGGGGCTTGGGGTTTAGGTTAGGTTTCGACCGGGGTCCAACGGGTTCTGAGGTTTCTTGTCTTGTTGCGTGCAGCTGCTGGGGCCTCAGGAGAAGATTCGTTGCGGCCAGCAGCCGGCAAGCAAGAAGGTGAAGAATCGGGCGCAATGCCAGCACTGGTGCAGGCGCCCCGTTGCTGTAGGGGCCTCTAGAAATTCGACTAGGGTTTTGGCTTACCTTGTACGATGACTCTAAGTATGAATAAGGAACCCCCAAAATCCCATTCTAATTTCTAATTATTCAAGGCCTCTATATCACGTGCAGCAGGAATGGGGATTGGATGAGATCAGATCGTGGATTTACAGTGTATCCCCTCAAAACCCTAATAACAACCCTTGTCTGAATATCGAGCATGTCAAGGTCTATGCCACGTGGCTGTTTTGGTGTTCATGGTTTGAGGGGTGCCAAGGTCTTCATGTTCAGGATTGGGGTATGTAGCTTCGGCTGAAGATGCGTGTTTTGGTGTGAGGTAGGATGCTTTTGATCAGGATGGTTTAGGAGTTAGGAGCCTGGATCCTCAGGCTATGCCGGCTAAACCCGCTGTACAGCTCCCTCTGAAACTATGGGAATGTGCTGCACATCTGTCAAAATACCACTGCAATCATGACTTGACGAGTCTTGTCGTCGCGACTTGAAGCTTTCAGCTCTAACTCCTCTGTCGCTGGGTGTCTCCTTTGGGCCATGGACACGTGGGCGGCAGTCGTCCAATTTGCAAGCAGCGTGTACGATGCGCTGGCTTCAGGCTGCTGTCCCTCAGTTGACAATTCAGCTGAAGAGGTCGTTTCTTGGATTGATGCGGAAACTCCACGCGTGCAATCGCAGCTGGGTGATGTCGCGATCTGTACGCCGCGCAAGCTCACAGTTCTACAGAGAATGGCGGACACACCATCCACAGTGTGTCCGGGTACGGATGAGGACCGAGATGATGTGTCGTTACCAGAGTTCATGCTGAAAGACGTGGCCCAATTCCTCACAGTCTTCGATTTCGCATCTCTTCGTGCCGTTGACCGGAGAGCCGACGTGTCAATGGATTTTGCCGCGCACATCATGTCAATCTTCCAGCCAGAGAAAATAGAGAAGATTATTGACTTCGAGCACTACCTTCGCGACCCCGCACTAATTGGCGATGCCTCGCAGATTGGCATGAACGTGCTGCTATGCCATTTCGGACATTGGTTCGTGCAAAGCCCGAACACCGTGCTGCAGCTTGTGCAGGCACTGCAGAAACACTGTGCAGACACAGCCACTGACGATGTGGGACACACAGCCTCCATTTTCGTGATGGCTAACTTCGCAGCTGAGGCGGTGAGTTCCGGCGTAAAGGAACTTCGGCACATCTTCATTAGGTTCCTCATTCAGTGGCTGCGGACCGGCGATCGCGAGCAATTGTACTATGCGTGCGCAGCCCTGGTACACTGCCATGATCTGGGCCCGTTCCGTGAGGAGTGCAAGCAAGCACTGATGATGGCCCAGACAGATGAGGATCAATGCAGACTCCGTGCCCTCGCCGCGGTGTGCCCCGAGATTTGGGAAACCGCGGATCGCAGAATCCGTCACCTCAGCTCGGTGTGCCCCGACCTTTGGATCCGCCCTTATCTGCTTCCGCTGCAGTCTTCATACTGGGTCTACACTGGCGAGCGCTGGGCTTTTGATCGAACGTGGTCGGGCCGATGCGTGCGACAAGTGCAGCAGTAAGACGGTGCACTGCAGGACCGCCGCTTCCTTTCCGGACCCTGACCCCTTGCAACCCTGCGTAGCCCTGCGAGATGAGCGCTTCATCTTGTGAGGACGTCGGCTAAATTCCCGATCCGAAGGACAAGTGCGAGAAGGGTGGGTGCATCGACTAGCTGGGCCAGAGCTTGGAGTTCTTGATGCTCAAGGCCGCCCAACTTGAGACCCTTGCAGAGTCGCAGCAAACAGAGCTCGGGATGCCGCAGAGGGAGCTCCGCGAGCAGCCCGGCTCTGATTGAGAATCTGCTGAAGAACATCGAAGCAGAGCTCTCAGAAACAGAAGAGTTCCGGTGAGGCAAGCCCATCACATCTTGAAAAGGGTTGCTTTGCACTGGAAGGAGGTGTGGAAGTGCATGAGCGGATCGGCTCATTCTGCACGCTTAGGCTTTGGTGTTTAGGGTGTCGGGATATCTGCAGTTTGTGCCTTGGCCTTCTGGCTGCTTTGGAATCAGCAGGCCTCTTCTCAACGTGGAATCGGAAGGTACGGAAGGTTCTTTGTTCGCTCTCTTCCTGTCTTCTTCCGGAGGCATGTATTTCCAAGAGAGAGAGAGAGAGAGATAGAGATAGAGATACATATGTATATACACATGCATACATACATACATACGTACGTACGTACGTAGGTACGTACGTACGTACGTACGTACGTACATACATACATACATACATGCGTACATGCGTACATGCGTACATACGTACATACGTACATACGTACATACGTACATACGTACATACGTACATACGTACATACGTACATAGTACATACGTACATACATACATACGTACATACGTACATACGTACATGCATACATACCTTTACCATACCATACATACACGCACACGTATATTGGACGTTGGGTTGCTTGGGATTTGGAGGGTTCCCGGACATGCAGGAGCCGACCCAGCTGCTCGGCGTATGTGTATGACTCCCGGCGCCGGGTGGGCCTCGGCACGCTTGAAGAAGTCTACAAGGGATACGATCAGGGTTACCAAGAAATCCTACCATCCTAGCCATACTCGAGGCCTTTGTGCAAGGGGTGCAGGGTGTAGGATTGTTGTACTTATGTTTTGGGTCGTTTGCTTCTTGCAGAAACAGTCGCTTAAGACCAATATGTCTGTGATAGTCTTTCCTCACAGCAACGTTTGCTGTGAGGGGGTTTTGCCGGTCTCATTATCCTTGACCTGTTTTTTCTTTGATTTGCATTTCCTTAGTGTGGCCCTTGCCTTGCTTGTTGCTGGTAATTGCGACCATGAGCCCATAATCTGATGTAGTCACGGTGTCCTTCCGTCACGGGACGACGGGATCCCAATTGTAGTTTGCGTTGCTTGGAGCGCTAGACTTTTGTGAGTGGTTGTTGAGATGGCGGGCGGCGGGATCAAACTGCAGAGGCCAAGAGCGTCGAGAGATCTTTGGCTTGTGGCCCCTGGCGGTGTCCTTGGGGGTAGGTTGCATCGCAGTTTACTCGAATGCGCAAACCAAACCCTCTTGCAACTTCTCTGAAGCCCTTAACCCCCAAACCCAATATGGAAGTTCGAAAAAAACTGCAATATCTCCAAAACCCCTGTTCAAATAAAAAATTCGGCCCATGTAGTTAGTTAGTGACCCCGATATAGAGGTCGCTAAGGAACCTGTGTTAAACATTCTCCGCATCCCTCCCGTGCCTCTGCCATGCCAGCGCAAGCGATGCATCGAGACCAAGCGAAACTCCGTGGGTGGGAGGACGTGCGAAGTGTACACCAAGATTCCCGATGCTCGGCTGCATGGGAAAAATGCAGGGCTTTCTGGGCTTAGGAAGATTAACGAAGTGATTTAGGATAATGATTCTGGGGCTGTAATGTCTCAAGGCCTTTGGATGCTCGAGGTTCGGGGCTTTTTCAGGTGTAATGCATGTTTGAAGCTGTCGTGCAACGGAGAAGTTGCACTCAACAGCCAGGCCGACATACGAACTAAACCCTGAACCCAGGACTGCAAACCCCTGAAGCCCTCAACTCAAACCCTAAACCCAACACCCTGAATGTCAAACACTCAACAGCAGGTCCACTTTTTGTTCCACATTTTTGACCCCAGGAGGGCAACAGAGCCAACTTCCTTCTGCTGGTTCAAGCAGAACTAGCTCTAGCTCGCATTGAGGGTGACCGGCTCCTTTCAATCTAGTTTCTAAGGATTGCGTAAGTTTTGTTTCAGCAGTTCTTTTGCCGCCCACAACATTGCAGCAGGAGGTTCGACAAATTCGAACTTTTTTTCTGCTATGCCAAGGACTGCAACCCAGAGACCGCCTGCGTTCAAGTCGATGCCCGAACGTGGCTCGAGCGAGGCGGGGCCACATCCTACTCTGAGTACTATTACAGGGGCCTTAATCATTAGAATAGGGTTCCTTTTAAAGTGGGGTCTACCAGGGCTAGTTCCAGAGATCTATAAGGGTCCTGTATTAGAGGGGCCTGAATAATTAGAGTATGCTTTTGCGGGTATATTGTACTATAGTCATAATAAGGAGCCCCCCCAAAATAGTATTTGTGATTATTTCGGCCCCTATATTTCCTGTGTTTCCAGTGTTTCTTCCTGTTAGTTGATGCAGGCTAACCCTAAGCCCGAAACCCGAATTCGGCAGCTGTTCTTGTAAAATCGCTGCCATTCGCAGCTTGCAATGTAGAGCTGGATTGGTGCTGCGACGTAATGGCCTGCTTCTGTTCTGCCACAGGCAGCCTTAATCGCGGATTCTCAAACCTCAGGCGTCTGGTCCTTTGCTTCTTCCAATAGCCGAATTAAACCCTAAACCCCAAAACCCTAATCCCTAAACCCTAAACTCCCTAAACTCCTAAAGCCTGAAAATCCTGAAGCCCCAAGTTGCCGAAGCCAAGAGCCCAAAGCCTTGCAGCCCCTGAGGATCCTTGAGCCCATAAACCCCTCTGCTTGCAAAAGCCAAGCTCTATAATTCTATGACACCCTGAACCCGAAGTCTAAACCTAAACCCTCGGTTTAGGGTTTAGGGTTTAGGGAAAAAAACCCCGAACTCTAAAGCCCCGAACCCCAAGCTCTAAAAACCAAGCAGAGGCACCTACTGCCCTGTCGGTTACGATGTCGACCGCGGCAGCATGACTTACCTCAAGGCTTCGGCTGGGCGGGGTTTCGGGTTTTTTTCTTTAAGGGTTGAGGCTTTGGGAATCAAGGGTTTAGGGATTATAAGTTATAAGGGTTTGGGGTTTTGGGGTTTAGGGAGTTTAGGGCTTCTGATGGCCTTAGGGAGCTTTGCGGATGTTGGGTTCAGGGGTAGTGGTAGTGCATGGCAGCGGCTGAGGAGAGGATGCACTTCGAACCAAAAGCTCGGAATGCTGACAGCCTGGCTTGAAGAGGGGCCTATTGCTTTGGAAGATTTTGGGGGTTCAGGGTGTAGGATTCAGGGTTTGGGGGGTGGAGTGTAGGGTCAGGGTTTCGGGGGTAGGGGTTGGCCTCAAACACCTGAATCGAGGCTGCGCCGCAAGTTTCAAGGATCCACCCCCCCCCCCCGCCGTTCCCCGAATTCACAGCTGCAAGAGGGAAGCCGCCAATTTAGAAGCCTAGCAACGAACATTAGTCCTTATGGTTCCTTGCTGCAACAGAAGTACAAAAAAAGCCATAAACCCCTTTCGAATGAGTACGGTTACGGCCCGCCCATATTAAGTGTCGCCCTTATGGTACCTGCAGATGTTCAAGACTCCCTAGCATGCATCATGCGAAGCGACTCTTCGTCCTTTCCCTCGAAATTCTTTGCAAAACACCCTGAAACCCCTTTTGCCCTAAAGCCCTAAAGTTAAACTCCTAAAGCCAGAATCCTAAAAAAGCAAGCCAGGAAGGCCTCACGCCGAATGAGATGATCTACCTGCGAAAGTTCAAGGCCAGGATAGCTGGGGTGTGGTTGGTGCTGGTAGCAGCAGCGGTAGTAAATCATCATCATCATCATTATTATT